TACTTCAATCGAGACTCAACTGATCGGCGTACAGCTCTACAGTAGTTTATCTTGAGATATTTTGTGTTCATTTTGACTTTTCTTACTGTTGAACTTTTACAAGTTAAGATATCAATTCCTTGTAATTTAATGGGTTGAAAATGATGTTTCTAAGTTTATTTTAAACTAAAAAAAAACGAATTCAGACTTCGAAGAAAGAAAGAAAGTATTCAACTTCTATCAGATCAATCTATAAATGTCAGCAGTTCTTGGTAGAAAAAATTGTCGAAGTCGATGTAATCCTTCTTGCACAATAATACTTTTAAGACTACACCTGAATTATTTTGGTTAAAAAAGATTCTAAAATCTGTTTACACGTTGGAAATCTCTCGTCAGAAATGTATTATGAGTTAAGTCAGAATATATTAATTCAACAAAAACTTCATTAAGTGTTGCATTTCCTAGCAAAATGTAACATTTTTAATCTGTGAGCGTGACCTATTTATGCCAGTAGCAATTCTTTCTTTTTCTTCATAAGTTATATAAGTTAATAAAGAAATATCACAGCTCAAAGAGCAACGATTTGTATTTAGCAATATTCGATTTTTTTCAACAAAACTTGATACCCTGTCATTATTTTTCACGAAAACTTGTTCTCTGTATCACCTATAGAAAAAATCTCGATAAAGAGTTTTCACTTTATTTCAGTCATGTGAATATTGGAAACGTCTTGTATACTAATATATTCTCATATCCGGAAGTTCTTCTGCTTCACTATTGAAGGCAAATTACAAACCTGAAAAAAAAATTTAAAATGATGTCTTTAATTTAATTTATTTCAATCAATATAGTAGAATAATTTCGATTTAACCCATAACCCAGAATAAATGAAGGTCTTAGTATTTTCACTATAACTCCGTCAATTTATATTATTTCACCCGAATTTTTTTTCCAAAAAGATTTACCATTCAATTCTACACAAGGTGTTTAACGGAATGTTTCCTTGAGAGAATCGTGGACAGAAATACAATTAGAACACCTGGCATATAAAAAATGACTCACTTTCAAAGTTGAAGACAGTTTCTTTGAAATTTGTCTAATAGATAATAACGATTGAAATTAAATATTAGAGAGATTTTGTAATTCGCAACAACCTCCATCGATTATTGATCACTTGAAAATTTTCATGCTAATCTTCATAACCGAATGAAATTATCATTTCAGATTTTCAAGAATTTAGCTCTTCCAAACTGCCGTTTAGCAGTCTTTAGGAAAAGAAGCACTGCTAAGACTATTTCAATAGCATCTTTTGGGTTTGAGTTTTCTTTATTTTACTGAAAATTGACCAGCATATAAATTACAGAGAGAAAAGCTGATCTACGTAAACATTTGTTCTTCAGTTTAGCTGAAGAAATTTAGCGTGTTTTAGTCATGTGGAATAACATTATGGAAACTCAACTTTTGTTAATTTAAAGTCGGATTTGTCAAACTTTGAGCTATATGACGAGAAAAGGTTCTAGTTGAATTTTTCTGCTCAATTTTCTAAAGAATAGTTTTGGATACAATCTATTGAACAAAAATCAGCTTGAGAGAATGAAAGTTGATGGAGTTATAGTAAAAATACTCGGACCGTTATTTATTCAGAACAACTTGTGAAAAGTAAAAGGATGTCATTCGAGAAATTTAAGAACAATAAATGATCTGAAAATTCTGCAGTCAGATGCAACTCAATTCTTTTGTTGTTGTCACCTTTTTCCATTTGTTTTTGAATGGGTCAATCAATTAGACTTATGAGCAATTAAATAAAGAAAGCAATGATACTGTATCCATAAATTGGTGATTCTCATATTCATCCTCACTTTTTCACACAGGCACTCACTACACTGATACTTCAAAACAATCAAATTTCAGATAATGGGGCACAAAAACTCGCGGATGCACTTAAAACGAACAATGTAAGCCACTTTTCCAGCTGATCTCTCTAGTACCAATGTTTACTTTGTCAGTACAGCTCACATTAAATTGTTTATAGTCAATTGTCGAATCGAAGATTAGTTTAGGAAGATATTTGACACATAATTATCAAGATCTCATTTAGTCCCGTTTGAATAAATTTCATGAGTGTTCTACTTCCCAGGTGATTCGATCCGACTGTCGGATTACGTCGGATTATATCGGATTATATCGGAAAAATTACCGGATTTTAACGGATCCGACGGGAACTCGTCGGAAGTTGTCGGCGTCCTAGCCAGAGGATTCCGACAGGAGGTTCCGGATGTCGGAATAATCAGGATCCTACGAAATCCCTGAAACTCCGACACTTTCCGACATCCAGAACCACTTGTCGGAATCCTGTGGTTAGGATTCCGACAAATTCCGGCGAATTGCTATCGGATTCGACAGGGTGAATTCGACCTGGGTTGTTAAAATATGATCTAAACGAAGTCGAGTTGAAATTCGTGACGAATTATTTTCAAGTTCATTTGAGATTGTTTTGAGATTATATTTCACATTTCCAATAAGATCCTATGATAATTTTTGACAAATTTAACATGTATCAACTGGAGACCCCTACAAAGTAAGACCGACTTACTACCTATATCGTAATAGTGTATGGATTTAAAAAGAACTGTATTGATTAGTCTCGTGTCAAAGAAGACTTGTGCTTTTATAGTATGAATTTCAGTTCAAATTAGACAAAAAGAATTTTTAATTCGAAATCTAGAAAACGAAGATTTCTGCTGTTTTTTGATGTTAAGATCTCGTAACAAAAAATCTTTTCAGGGATAAGATTTATCGTTTTGTCTCATATCATGAAAATCTAGTAATTAAAGAAATCAAAGCTTCAATTTTGACAGCTAGATTTTTGAGTTCATAAAAAATTTGATTATCTTCATGTTTTTGCGATTGTCAAAATAAGTCGAAATTTCTTTTATATCCTTAGTGAACTTTCGTGCGACTGTTGTTCAGCTGGACAGTAGTTTATTTTCATATATCTGATGACCATTCTAACTTTTCTTACTGTTGAATTATTTTAAGAAGTTAACATATTGATTCCTTGTAATCAAAATGTTTGTAACTGAATTTTTTATTTAAAAATATACATAGTCACACCATCAGTAATAATATTAGTCATATGCTCTCAGGGAGATCTATCTATTTCAAAAATTCTTTATTTTCTTGCGAAAATTATCAAATGCAGAGCAATATTTGCAAAGTTTTCTCCTGAGAAACATATTCTATTTGTTATCTGATCCGATGCTTTGTTTTTTCATATATTTTTGCATTAGCTTTATATTTTTGAACATTATCCATACATGTTTTACGAACCGTTTTGTACTTTGTGGAAAAACTCGTCACGATCAATTGTGCTTAAAAGTTTTGTGACTGAAATTAAATTATTTCCAACAGAAAAAATCTTCTGAGATACATTTCAACGTTCGAAATCTCTCGTTAATAATTAATCATCGCTAGACTTTAAAACTCCATTCAATATTGAATATAAACAGGATTTAATCTAACATTGTTGTCATTCTTGAGAGAAAATTAATACTTTTAATACGCTCAAACTTATCTATCTATTCTCTGAGCTGTATTTTTTTGTATTTCATATTTGTAAGACATATGTGAGAAAAATGCACCTTAATAAGGAACATTTTTATATTTAGCAATATTCGATTTGGTTTAACAAAACTTGGCATTCTGTCCTCTTTCATATAAATCGGCTTTCTGTGTCACTCTTTAGAAAAGTTCGCTAAAGAATTGTCAATTTACTTTAGTCATGAAGATATCGACAACGCCTATTCTATCAACATTATCTCATGTTTCAGAATAAGTCTGCTGTAAAATTAAGAGTAAACTAGACACCTGCAACAGATAAAGCGCAAATACATTTCCTTTATTTTGTTTATTTCCTTCATTAAAGTAGAACAATTGCAATGTGCAAACAAAGAGATGTTATTGGAGAAATTCTTAAGGAAGATATGATCTGCAAAAGCCTTACTTAGCTGCTGTCACTTGACTTTTTGTTGTTCTCGTCTTTTTTCCCTGTTTGTCTATGGTCTAATGAAACGCAGCGTGCAATTTTCGAGTTTCATGGGACACAAAATAATTGGATAAGCATTTCAGAGAAAATCAATCAGATTTTTCTCACTTTAAAAATATGTGAACCATATTCGGCTAAAAGTAGCGTTCTTGAGATATTTGCGAGAATAGCGCCATCAATGATACATTTAACTTAAGATCTCAATAATGCTGATTTAGCTGAATACAGTCCAAACATTTGCAAAGTTAGACAAATCATATTGGTTTTTTATCAAGTTTGTAACCAATCATCTTAAGTTCCACGAAACTCAAAAATTGCACGCTCCGTGTCATCAGACCATAGACCAACATGAGATAAAGAGAACGATGAAATGATTTCAATCCATTGGCACTCTCATATTTATTGTCACTGTTTCACTTAGATACTCACTCAGTTGTTCCTTCAAAACAATCAAATTAGAGACAGTGGGGCCCAACATCTTGCAGAAGCACTAAAAACCAACAAAGTGAAATTTATTAATTTTCTACACATTTTTTTCTTATGTTTACTTTTTCTTTTCTTTTATAGACATTGCAGCTATTATATCTCTCAGGGAATAACAATATATCTGCTGACGTGAAAACTCGTTTAAAACAACAAGACAATAGAATGAGGTTTTGATTAATTGATTTAGTGTTCTTTTTTTTTGGATGAAATAAAATAAAATTTGATTGATTGATTTATATTATCATATTCGCAAGCGATCGTACAGAGAAACTCTGTATCCACAGTGGACACATAGGCCAATAGTGCGTCGACAAATCCAAGGATAATTATATGGGCCAAAGGCCTCCTTCGTCTATTTGGGTGTGGATGTGGATTTCGATGAAGTCTGTAGGTCTTCTGTGTAGTAACACCCATACCCACACACCCACACCCACAACATCAAAGTAAGTTTATTCTTCTTAATAAAAGACGCGACGATTCGTATCTTACTTCACTTTCCTCTACTCTTCATTGATTTTGTTACTTTTTCTTTTCTTGTCATTTCTCTTGCTTTTTCCATGTTATTCTTATATAATGCAACACTTGGATGGTTTCTCGATAAGACAGTAAGAGCATTCGAACCAGTCTTCTTATAAAAACATTTTGCTTTGATAACATTAGTTTTCTCATGATAAATCCCGCCTCTATTGTTATATGTTGTAGCAATATCTGCCGCATTACCAATCGAAAGTTCAATTTTCAATGTACGTTCAAAATTAGCTAATTCTTCCTCAAAACGACCTTGTTTAAGTTGAACCATTGCAAGATTATTGTAAGCATTTGCCAATGATGCATGTGAGTTTGTGTCAAGCCCTTCGATTGCTAATTTTGTATCCAATGCACGCTGAAATGAACTTTCAGCAGTCGGAAAGTCTTCTTTTTCGAATTGTAACGTAGCCAGATTGTTCATTGACTGAGCAACCAATAAATGATGATCTTTCGTTCGTTCGATGTATGACAATTGTATTTTCAATGCTTGATCATAATATTCACGAGCTCTCGATCAAAATTTTTCAGATGACTTTACACAATGTCTAAATTATTAAGTGCATGAGCTATAAGATGACGATTAGATGGTAAACTTTGTTGGTAAATACTCAATGTGTTTTCAAACAAACTTAAACTTTTTTCATAATTTCCCGCGTTTATTTCAACTACTCCTAAATTCTTACACAAACTGACAAAGTCGAAATGCAAAGGTGGTGGATGTTTCTCCTGCACAGTTCATACGCGTCGTAGATAACTTCTTGCTCATTTGTTTGAATCGACTTTTTGCAATAAAAGTTGAAGCAATATTTGAAAGTATATTTGCTAATCTCTTTGCCGATCGGTTATACTTTTCGGCACGCTGAATATATTTCAATGCTCGATTATACCGACCTTGATTTAGATCGTCTAAACCGAGATTATTCACAGTACTAGACAGCAATGAACGATAATTGTTTGCCATAGCATAAGCTTGTTTGAATAAAGTAGCATTACAATAGTATTATAAAGTAATGCCTTTTCACTATCATTATGATTACTTAACGCTTTCTGTTGAAGCATGATTGCATAGAACTATTGGACTTGATGCAATTCACCCATATTGAGTAAAAAATTACCGAGTGTAAGTTCCCTTGCAATTGAATGCATATTATCAGTGCGTAAATGAGTTGTTAACTTCGATAGACATTCTTGTACTTGAGTTTCAACCTATAAACCTATCAAATATGTAGAATCGTATTCTTTGACTGAAATAACTCGAAATATCTTGCCAATTGCAAATAAAATCTCCTTCTCATCACGTTTACTATTGTGTTCAGCAATAAAAGCAAATGGTCGATCAAATGATTGATTCTTATTGTCGCTCTTCAAATCGATTTCGAAGACGACCGAGGCATACAACGGCAAACGTGATCCATCAGTAGCATAAATGAATGCTACGTATGATTCACCCGTTGTTGATAGAAATATATTCATCGATATCAATCCACTAATGTTATTTTTAATAGCTTCTAACTCTTCAATGCATAAAGATTGACCATGAAACGTTTTTTTTTTCGTTAGTGAATTCATTGTTCTTCTTTCTTCATTTGTCAGTTGTATATAGAGATCAAGCATGAGAAAGCAAAACGTGAAAATAATGCGAATGTTTTGAGTACGAAAAGCTCGATTGAGTAAACGATAGGCAAATGAATCATTTGTGTACCACCAAATAGCTTTTGTTGATCGATAATCACGAGCAAATTCATCGATCTTCTTCATTTCAACTTGATCCGAATTATAATGAGCGCGTGCTACTTCCAACATATCGTTCATATTTGTTTGTTTATGAGGTAGCCGTAGTTAGACATCAAGCAACAATTGAAACGAACCTGATCTTTTGTAAAATCTCGAATTAAAATTTCATGTCCATGTGTAACACCATAAACTGCCATAGGTTGGAACGTTCGGTTACTATCGCTGGGCATCTATAGACAATCTTCATCACTATTATCATATCTGCCGTCGATGATGAATTCATTAGCGTCGAAATGCACTTGTTGACCGTTCAAAATATAAAAATGTGTTAACTCACTTGAAGGACATGCATCCATAATAGTTTTGCGTATATTTCTTATAATAATTTTATTGGTTTTCAACACCAATAGATAGAGCTTTTCGACATACTCTTGTTTTATGTACTCAATACATTTTTCTAGATTATCGAATATTTGCATATCAGAATCGAGTCGATTGAATTGGCGACAAGTTTCATGCCATTCATCATCGAAATCTTTTTCGCCGATATACAATAAGATACGTGTAAAAGTGTTTAAATCAATTCAAGCTCCAAATTGCAGTGGGATATTCTAACGTGATGGACAACACCTTTTAAGTAGCGCTACTTAAACCAATCAGATTTACTATTTTTTTTTCTTCGCATATGATTCATATATATTTACAACTTCAAAGTGTGTAAACATGTTTTCCCACCATCATATTGTGTGTAGATGTATATGTGGTTGACATAAAGATTCATCGACCTATATCCTTATTAATTATATTTATTTTTATTGAATTAACCTACTTCATTGAGAATGAGAACCTTTTATTTTTAATAAAAATATTATGCATTTCCTTAATCGATTTAAACCATTTGATGACTCTCTCACCAAGTAGAATGATTGTTTTTATTAAAGTATTTTTTGAAAAGAATCATAACCACAGAATAAAAATGTCTTCTGAAATTTTTGTTAAAATTCTGTCTATAAAAATCTTGATGATTCGATGTTTCAATAAAGTTTTCATCTAAGTTGTGTTGATTGAATAGGTTTTTCCACAATATTTTATACCCGAACAGATTGCTATCTTATAGGTATGGGTGTAGTTTTATGTTCATCCACACCCACAACATACAGCACTAACAACCTTCAAGAACAGCAACGGATTTGTCTTGTGTTTATGTATTTTCATGCTGAAGTATATTCACTAAAATAACTATCTCTTTGGTAGAATTTCGCTAGCTCTTTTTTATTCGTATATACAAGCCTTTTTTTTGCAGCAAAACCTTACTGCATAAAATAATTGTTATCTTTAAGAAAGTTGAAAAAAGTTGCGTTTTTATCATAGTTTCCTACGTGCTTGAAAAATACATATAACTTATTTCAGTGGAAAATTATTTTTTCATTTCAATTCTTTTACATTAAAAGCCACATAGTCAGACTATCGAATCATACCACAATTCAGAACAAATTCGATTTTCCGTCAACTAGATTCCAGAAGGAAGCATTATCTCTTGGATTTAATGAGAATGAAAATGTTGATTTTCTTATAAATACTACTTTGAAACATCTGAACACAGCTTTACTAGTAAGAAGAAACGAAGATCTTTTAGAATAGGAGTGCTTTGGAAATTATTGATGTTGTATATTCACAATATTCATGTAATCACTTTTCTACTTTTACCACTATCGTGATCATTTACATGTGGCTGCGTAGAGTATTGAACGATGAATCTTTCGAAAAAAAATGTAATCCTAAATAGTGAAAACTGAAAGAGATATTGACCAAATATAGCCGCCATTTATTCTGCCCCACCAGTTAGCATTAGCTTTATTGCAAGACCTTCGGAGTAACGAATCAGAGGGATAGGGAGCTGAAAATTGGTAATTAAACTTTACAGACTTTCTCGCTGCATTAAAGAAATCAGTGATAAAGCGGGAAAACAGGAGCATATAGCATAATTCGGTACCGTCTAAGAGTGTTGACGTGTTGAAAGAAATTCACCGAGTTACGAATATGTGTATTATACAGAGAAGAAAAAAATCAAGGAATGTGATTTGAAAGAACCATACTCACACTAAGAATGATGACTATACAAGTAGAAAAATCAGGTAAATAAATACAAATCAGAACGATGGAACACTTCCCACCCACCATCCAAGATTCACACGACAGAAATTGAAAAGTCTTTTGGTTGCATCTATCGCAGATTTATTAATCATAAGCGTTGCTTGTGTCAAAAGCGACAACGGGTTGCAAAATTCTATTTGACCACCAAGGCATAACAACTTTGCAATACAACTATTAAAAAGAGGGTGGGTGTGGGTGGGATGTGGGTGTGGGTGTGGATGGGGTGTGGGTGTGGGTGTGGTATGGGTAAAAGGGAATACTAGATAAACACTTACTTACTTCATAGTCACACCCTAAACCTACATCCGCACTCTACACCCAAACACCCAAACTCACACACTCATACCCAGACCCACATCCGCACCCGCACACACGAAACCCACACCCACTCTTTAGGGACGAAATGTAGAACTCACATGTGTTCTTTAGCTTCATGTTTCTAATTCAAAATACGACAAGTGTAAAGTCTCTAAAAGAGGATAGTTTTTTTTCAACGATAATTATTTGACAGCAAGCACCATGTCTTTTGATTTCTACATTTCAGACAGATATTTTATTTTCTGTTTTTTTGTTAGGCACTCTTTTTCTTCTCATTTTTCTTGTTTTTATTTGGTCGATATTTGCTTCGTTTTGTTTTATTTCGTTTTCATAATTTATCATTATTATTAGTCTAGTCATTAATTTAATGGAGAAACAAGCTTGGCGTACACATTCATTATTTTTCCAGCAGATGTTATACTCACGTGTTGGTCATAGGACAGTTGTATGAAACCAAAACACTATCCTTGATGTCTATTATATAATAGTTTGTCTTCACAAAAATCAGAAACTTCGTTATTTAGAGCGTTGAGAATCATATTACAACCATTTAAATTTCAAGGAACTCTCTGAATGTTCTAGAACCTTTCAAAGTTTGTTATAAATATCATTCAGTGCCTTTGTTCCGTTGCTAAGGAACTATGGTAGATCACTCTGATGTTCGTTGTCCTCAACTGTCATGGCAGCATACTCAATGACGTTTAACTCCTGTTGCTAAGCTCTACAATAGGAGATGGGTGGTTGAGGGTCTCAAAATTTCGATTTAAAACTCACAATCTCGGTTTTCCTCGAAACTATATATAAGCTCCATAAAACAAAGAAAATTGTTTTCACTTTAAATTCGACATGAGTAACGAACAGAAGAAAATACCAAAAGAAAAACATATGTAAATTTACACAACAATTTAGTTCTCTCGGTTTGTTTGTTTTTTGTTTTTTCGTTGTAGACGCTTGTCATTGAAAGGTTTTTTACCCTGAACCATTGACTCTTGAATTGCCTGTCCTTGTCTTCTGGGTCCACCAAACCATCGTGCACAGAGATCAGCGATATCGGGTATATTGTACTTTGGTTGAAAAATATCATTTGCTTCTGGAATTATCTGTTGCGCCTCTTGTTCTTGTGGTAGTAATTTGGGCAGAAAAAAGAATAAAATCATTCCTAAAATTATTGGAGCAAACATTGGATTGAAAACAATATCATTCCAACGGTACACTTCACGTTTTTTAAAATAATTCGGCTCGTTATACGTATCGAAATGTAGCGGATATTTTACTAACATAACTTTACCTGGTTCAAGAAAGTTAACTTTACGCGCACGAATTTTTCCATTAGCATTTATATCAACACGTATTGGTTCGAAAACGTACCATGGTGAACTAACCGAAACAACATACGAACCACTGGGTACGCCTAATAACCATGAAAAGTAAATGTCAGAAGTTAGTTTTTCTCTTATGAGACAACCTACTCGATATGACAAAAGTTCCATCGACTCGAGGGATACCGACATATTCACCTTCGTTAACTAGGACACGCATATCGTCAAGGGCTTTATCATCAGATGGGGAAAAGATTTGTCCTTCAATTTTATATGAACCAATCCTCTCACTGGAAGTTGTTGGTGACGCAGCCATGCTTGTATGGCTCGTAATAACCATCATTAATATCAAACCAAACCGATACCATGTATTCGTATTTGGCATTTTCAAGACACAGATCAAAATGGAAAAAATTTGAAACTAATTATTTACAAAGCACTATGATACGTTCTCGTTGATTGATTGAAAAGGTCTTTTTCGTTTTTTCGACAGCTAATAATAATTTTATTTAAGAAGGAGACGCAAATGTTTATACAAGCGAGAAAAAAGAAGAGAGAGAGAAAGGAAGGAGAGTCACTCCTTGGTTTATTCTTACTTGTGTAGTAAGATATACTTGGAAAAAAATATGTTATATCCTTTCTTTCCAACTTGGAAATAAAAAATACCTAAGTAAAATGGATGAGAAGATAAGAAAGACAAAAAAACGCAGGAGGGGAGAAAAAGAAAGAAGGCAAAAGAACATGAGCGATAGAAAGGAAAGAAGATAAACACCAATGTATTGCACATGTAATTGCGAATGAATATTATTTTTTCGTTTACACACTATTTGTATAAAATACATTTTTTGGCAGACAATTTTTTAATCAGAATTATTTTGTAAATACGATTCTTTCTTTTCGAAATAATAATGATTGAGGATGCAAGTAGCCATTGCTGTCCTACAAAAAAAAATGAGCAATCAAATTTGTCTAGTCAATAAATTCACAATACATGCGTGTCTAACTTGTGTTGAACACCCATTTGGCCATTGTTTATTCAACTTCAGTCAAATTTCTAAAATTTTCTTCAAGTTGACATGATATTTTCTCTCTTGTCGATGCATTCATTCTTCTACTGTGATACTGTGCATAATTCATCCACACTTATATGCACGTTTTCTCACTGTTCTTGTTATTGTAGATATGTGTATATGAGCATGCTTGACTTTAAATGCCTGTTTTGTATATAAAAATGTTGACGAAGCATTCATTTCTAACATTGGAAATAAATGATTCAATAGTTTGTTTCTTTGAAACTTGGTATAAACCCAGTCATTATCAGTCAATAAAGTACCGCCATTCTTTGATTGCGTGTGGAAACATTTTTATGTAAACGAAAGTAACTACTTATGTATCATACGACGAAATTGATATTTAAACTTACTATCTTCGTATATGATTCGCTTATGAGGAAACATTTCCAAGTGATTCGCTCTGTTCTGATGCATTCGTAAGTCATCCGATAGGGTATATTGAGATAAGAAATAGCCTAAAAGGAGTCGTGCCCATGGTCTAGTATTGAGGAGTTATGGCCGTTTTACTGAAATTTTTACTGTGAGTCAAGCAGTACGGAAAAAAACAAAATGAAACATTTCGAGCTGAAATTCTATATATAGATAGATTTAATAGTTATTATATAGTCCTGAAATTTTCGACGAAAACGAACATGTCTTTATCGATTTATTCACCTTTTTAAAAAAAAGCTGTTTACTATAGGAGAACTCAATAATCCAGTTTAGTTGGAAATTGAATATCTCAATAAAGACATGTTTATTTTCGTTGAAACTTTCAGGATTATATAATGGCTATTAAATCTATCTATATATAGAATTTCAGTTCGAAATTTTTCATTTTGGTTTTTTCCGTAATGCCTGGCTCACAGTAAAAATTTCAGTAAAACAGCCATAACTCCTCACTACTAGGCTATGGGCACGAATTCTTTTAGGCTATTTCTTATCTCAATATACTCTATCGAATGACTTACGAATGAATCAAAACAGAGCGAATCACTTGGGAAGGTTCCCTCGTTAGTGACAGAGTTAGTGTTTTGATTGCTAATGATATATAACGAAAGTGATTCGATATCATTTGTTACTATTTACAGTAAGTGTCATAGGTAAAAATGTCTTTGTTCTCCAGAAAGTACTATGGTGTAGATGTGGGTTCGGTGGTGGTTAAAAACACGGCACTAACGTGAACCTAAACATAAATACTGATCCTATGAAACAAAACATGCGTCCCTTTGTCTACTACGGAATCCATTGCTCAGCAACTCATGACAGATTGACTTCACTTCAGATTATTTGAGGACTTCTAGTTTGAATCTATTCGATCTCTGTTTCTCAAAAGAAAAACACCGATGGAACGCTACTATCAAAGAGGAATAGTGAGAAAGCATGTCGAGCAATTTTTCTCGCTCTTTCTTTTTGATCGCACTCCTAATCTAGATAGCTTCAATTATTGGATATTACTAAATGTGCGTGTATGTCATTGAATTTCAAAGAACGGCTTATCAATTTATTTGACAAGCATGAGACAGGAAAAATATGGCGTTATACAGAATTAGATGTACCAGAAAAGTTTCTTTTCTTATCCTGTTAGTTTCTACTACTGGCCAATTATGAAATATGAAATGATAGACCATTTGCAGTACCTTTTTGAGTTGAAAACATTCGTTTGACAAGAAGAATACCAACATTCGAGTTAAATTGGAAAGAAAAACTCTATTGCTATTATCATGACTACAACCTCAAGCTACGATTGGCTGTTTAATCTTTCTCGACAAACATGAAACTGTAATGTGAATACATTTTTTAATTGTAATGAATCTTTGTAAAGAATTTTACATGTATTCTTCAACATTTTATCAATCAACCTAGTTGTAGAGAAAGTTTCGGTACTAACTTACTCAATCAATTGGCAATTACATGACACATATTCTTTCTCTAATTACTAATGTTGCTCGTTGAAAAATACACCAAAACATGTACATTCGTATATTTTCGTTATTCTCCACTTCCTTTTCTTTTTGTGAATGTTGTCCATGCGTGTAACTATGACGTGATATATATTACACAACTTAGGATAGAAAGCGTATTGACGAGCAACTATAGATATGAATGCACAAACAAACATCGATCCGAAAATGTAAAAGTGTCCGATTAAACTTCAAATCAATCAGATATAATATACTTTTCTAACAAACGAAAGGAATGTATGAAATAGTTTATTGAGGAAACAAAAAGAGAGAAAGAAAAATCTATTATGTTCTTCTTCTTTATTAGAAGACATATCAGAAGTATCCTCAAGTTAACCCTTCGTGGTTGTCGTGGGGTCCGTGCGGACCCATTTCACAGTTTTTTATTTAATACTACATCAAGAGCTTCTGTTTCTGGCCAGTCCCCTTATCTAATCTCTAGTCCTATGTTGGTCTACAACGTCCTTATTAGAAATCAACGATAAGCCTAGCAGATGAAAAATGCAGCTGTGGGTCCGGATGGACCCTACGACAACTATGCTGTTACCAGCATATTTTTCGTCTTGATAAAGCTGCCATCTGTTGATTCACAATTTTTTTTAAATAATTTACTTTGGTTGGCTTATATGTTACATACGTTTTTAAAGCAATTGAGCAAAAGTTTGACAGATGCACAAAATCGTCGCCGTAGTCAAGAAGTTCGGCTTATGCCTAAAGTCAAACTGCGTTGCTCTCACTAGGTTATCAGGTTCACTCAGAGAGCATCAAAGATGTTAGCCAAAACATCCAAATTCATCAAGCCAAAAAAGTGTTTCCTATGTCCAGCTCAACCAGGACGAAAAGTTCGACAAACATGTTCCAACTGTGGTCAAAATGTTTGTTTGTCTCATTCCACCAGTGTCACAGCAGTAACTTGTCAAACATGCATGGAAAAGCATTAGAGTATACTTTGCATTTATAAAAAAAAGATTTATATACAAACAATATCATCAGTTTGATAAAAAAAAACTGAATTTTTATTGCTTTTTCTAATAATAAAGAGAAAGATAAAAACAGCTATAGTTCAAAAAGAAAAGTTTCTTGCTTTCTCAATTGTACAATTGATTATATATATAACAACGTACGCGTAGAATCCTATCATCTAGACTAGATTGATATATTCTATGCTTTTCCCAGCTATTATCAATGCTGCTATAAAAACGATTAGAGAAGTAATTTTTTGCTATATCATACATCTTTACATTGTTTTCACGAGAGCTGACTCATTAGTTTTTATAAAGAAAGATCTCCACCTCTTCATATAAGCCAAATGAAACGCTTGAAGAAAGGAAAAAATCGTTTTTTTTGTAATTTTCTATAGGTGGGTCCAGGCGGACCCCAGGACAACTACGAAGTACAAAAATCAGGACAACCACGAAGGGTTAATCAAGCCTAATTCAGTATTTTCTTTCCTAGTAGTAAGAAGGATATTGAAAGATTTTCTTCTTGGAGATAAAATTTATAAATACTAGCGAGAGCCCGTGCATACTGCACAGATGCTTTTTTTCCTGTGAAGTTTCACTTCTGTCCTTTAGCCTTGATTGGAAAATAGACAAAAACCTAGTTCCCATTATATATACATATAGAGATCGTACAGCCTGATACCCTTGTAGACTCATACTCTTGTTGTAGTACTTCATTTAGCCTTATTCCGTTATTTCCTTATCCCTTATATCCTTTCCAGCCATGTCCATTTATACCATATACCCTTATCCCCTTATACTCTTTTAGCTTTATCTCTTATGCCCATGTAGCCTTAGCCTCTTATCCCCTTTACTCTTATATCCTTATCTCCTTATTCCCTACTCCCTTATAGCCTTATAGCCCTTGTGGACCTATGGGTACCACAATACAATAGCCCTTGAGGACCTGTGGCTTCCTCATTATAATAGTCCTTGAGGACCTATGGGTACCCTCATAGGATAGCCCTTGAGCACCTATGGGTACTCGCATAGGATAGCCCTTGAGGACCCAGACGTACCCCCATAGAATAGTTCCTGCGGATCCAAAGGTACCCCCATAGGAATAGCCCTTGAGGACCTATGGGTACCCCCTAGGATGACTCTTGAGGACCTATGGGTACCGCCCTAGGATAGCCCTTGAGAACCTATGGGTACCCCCTAGGATATCCCTTGGGGACCTACGGGTGCCCCCACATAATAGCCCTTGGGGATCTATGGGTACCCCCATAGGATGGCCCTTGAGGACCTATGGGTACCGCCCTAGGATGGGCCTTGAGGACCTATGGGTATCCCCATAGGATAGCCCTTGACGACCTATGGGAACCCCCATAGGATAGTCCTTGGGGACCTATGGGTACCCCCATAGGA